TTCATGTGAAACTGCTGCATTACCTAAGACTCGACGAAGTAAGTCTTTCATTATCCTAATTAATCGCTCCCAATAACCGCCCCACCATGGAGCTGCGGGTGCGTTCATTTTCCACGTGATACGTTTCACAGTAGAATATTTTTGTATGTCATTCCAGTCTAAATTAGCCATTAAATTCTTCGTGCCGTGAAAATTTGTTCCTTGGTCGGAGTTAAGCATATTAATTCGCCCACGTCGCGCTATGAATCTTCGCAGAGCCATTATAAAATCTTCTGTCGACAGTGATATCGCGATCTCCAAATGAACAGCACGATAAACGGCACATGTGAATAAGACAATCCAGCACTTTTTTCCATTTCGTAAAAATAATGGACCTGCTAAATCGACACCAGTCGTCTGAAATGGAGCTGAGCATGTCACGCGCTCCAGAGGCAATGGTGCAACAGGAGCTATAGTTGGCTTCGCTTTGTGTCTCTTGCAAACAACACAGGACATGATAACCTGTCGCACGAGCCTTCGTATGCCAATGATCCAAAATCTAGACCGAATATCTGCAATAAGTTGATTTGCACCAGCATGTTGTAAATGAAGGTGACGTTGTCTCACTAACATAAGTACAACTGGATCTCTCGCTGGTAATAAATATGGAGATTTCATAGACTCGGGAAAATCTGATAATAACAATTTCGTTTTAATTCGAACCACTCCGTCACTGTCTTTAAATGTTACTAAATTTCCTGAACATTTATCTAAGTACTCCTTGTTTACCAATTGTATAAGTTTTATAATAAACTCTTCGGCCTTTTCGAATTCTTTTGATGTTAATTCTCCTTTCCGTTTATTATCAATATTTTTAATATTATATGCAAATCTTAGTACCCAAGCAGTCATTCTAATAGTCTTTGAATATATTGAAAAATATTTCAGCAATCTACAAATAAAATTCTCATCCGTGTTTACATTTATATTACAAACTGTCTTTTTTGTTTCAGCAAGTACCTCTCTTTCGTTTACGACTAACTCCGAGTGGGGCCAGTCTGCTGGTGTTAATCGTAACCATGACATCCTTCCCACCAGCGACATTCAAATAACTTTTTCGCGTTACATCCCCTAGATGCCAGGTCAGCCCAATTTAGTTCTCCTGGAACATGGTACCAGTCACAAATATTTGTGTTTCGCCGGATTTCTTTCACTCTGTTGCCTACAAATGTATTTAGAGAAAGCTCGCGTTTTACCCAACACAAAGCAACTTCAGAGTCTGTCCAGCAATATTCGGAACAGTTAGACAGTTGTAAACTATCTCTGACATTAGCCAGTAGTCGAGATCCTATCAATACAGCAGTGAGCTCCAATCGAGGTATAGTCATATTTTGTGACGGGGTTACCCTCGATTTAGCGGCCACTAACTGAACTGACACCTTCTTATCCTTCTCAGACCTTAATAAGACACAAGCACCATATCCTCTATTACTAGCGTCACAAAATAAATGAAAACTAACACTACATTCACTCAAAATATCCACCGACAACCGTCTCGGTATAGAACATTCACCTATAAAATTTATATATTGATACCAGTCTTGAAACTTCATAAACAAATCTGAGGGTAATTTTTCATCCCATGGTATCTGTCGTTGCCACGCCTCTTGCAGAAGAAGTTTAGGCGTCAAAACAACTGGGGATGTGTAACCAATCGGATCAAATATCTTTTGAGCCACAGACAAAAGTTTACGCTTTGTGATTCCTTCAATTTCGCTGAATGTAGGAAGACTACTACAATTGCAACATAACTCATCCGTCACTACATTCCAATTCAAACCCAAAATAGAAATCACACTCTTACCAACCTCATTTAGCCCTTCAGAAGATACCCACATTCTAAGATTAAACTTACCAACTTGCATAATCCTTTTGGCTTCAGAAACTACCTTAACAGCCTCATCTTTTGTATCGACACTAATCAAACAGTTATCAACATAAAATGATTTATTTAATAGTTTCGCTGTACCACCTAATGGTCCATTCTCCATATAATTAAGGTGATATTGTAATGTAGCTGATAATAAAAATGGACTAGATGTGAGCCCAAATACGACTCTACAGTGTCTATATGTGACTAATTTCGTCATTGTATCATCTTCAAACCAAAGAAACTTCAAATATTCTCGATCAGGCTCTGCCAGACTTATTTGAAGAAAAGCCTTCTCAATGTCGGCTGTCATCCCTATGACTCCGACTCTAAAATTATTGATTAAATTGGGTATTTTATCAATTAAGTTATTACCCTTTTCTAGACACTTATTAAGACTAAGACCGTTTTTATCGATAGCTGAAGCATCAAAAACGGGTCGAATACTCGTCGTGAGACTTTGCTCTTTTATCACCGGCCTATGTGGTAGGTAATGTCCACAGTTGATAGTAGTATTTTTCGCTGTTTCAATAATTCCTAACTGCAACCACATTTTAAAAACATCGTCATATAACTGATATTTTCCGCTTGCAATCAACCGTCTAGTCATTGACTCTAACCGTTTATTGGCTTTCTCAAAATTCGGAGTTAAATCATCAAAATTCGTCTTAAATGGTAAATTAACTTCATACCTTCCATCGTCCAATGTTTTTATATTCTCTCGGAAAGTCATTAAAGTATCAGCGACAATTTCCGTTTTTGACTTTACCTCCGCTGGGTCTCTAATCCCAAGTGTCTCCAAAGACCAAAATTCTGTCAAATTATTATTATCACATGAGCAATAAAGAACAGATAAAACCTTATCAAATGAATTATTTATACTCACCGGTTTGCCCTGTAACGCCCAACCCAAGTTGGTTTTAATTGCGACTAGACCATCCTCCAGCTGAACTATAGTACCTGTTAACAGAAATCCTAAATAGTCCGCACCTATCAACAACCCAATGTCTGAGATGTCACCCTTGTCTGTCAGGGAGATATTATGTCTGACAAGCATATTTTTAATATTCACATCTCTAAAATTAATTTTTGGTATGTTATTACAAATAGTATTTAAGCTTATAACAGATACAATTATACTAAATGTATTCTCTAAGGAATTCAACTTAATATTATATACGTTACGGTCTTGCGATTCAGTTTCATGTCCACCAAATAATGAAAAAGCTAACTTTTCCTTCGTTAAAGGTATCATACCTAATTTCTTTACAATATCTTCTCGTATATATGTGCGCTGAGAACCCGAATCAAGCAAAGTACGTACTCGTAATTTCTTACCACCACATTCTACTTCAACTATAATAGTTTGTAACAGAGTCTGTCCCTTTGTAAAAATGCTGGAAGAAAGCGCAGCGGCCTCATCTGACTTTCCTGAAATTACTGGGTTTCTCTCAGTCCTCTGATCTGTACATAAGACCGTAGAGTGGCGTTTCGCACAAATGAAACACTTGACGATCGCTCTGCATGCTTTAGGATGATGACCCTTTCTAAGACAAATGGCGCATGCTTTTTTGTCTTTTAGCATCTGGCGTCGCTGTTCCAATGACATTTTTTGTATTTTATAACATTCGAGGCTTCCATGTGTGCTTTTGTCGCACCATAAACATACGAGTTGTTTTTGTTTTATGTTTGATATGAGACATTCTGCAGTACTTGGTTTTCCAATTGACAAATCTTTTTGTTCCTTATTATTAAATGTTTCCCTTGACATAAGAATTCTTTGCTCACTTGCAACTTCTTTCTTCAAAAACTCTAACAAATCTGTTAATTCTTCGGACAAGTCTTTTGTCTTCTGCTTGTTTCTTTCCCATGTTCTAAGAAGCTCTTGGGGTATAGCAGATTCTACCAATGGTAATAAGATCGCGGCATAATTTTTAATAGTAAGACCTAGAGTTTCAAGCGCACGCAGTTGAGCGTTTAACTTATCGTACAAATGAGTTATTGAATCTTTCTTGTCTACTAGAATGATTCCCAAAATTTCTCTTACGTATATAAGTGTGAGTAAGTCAGTTCTCGCGTATCTCGCCTTTAACTGTTCTAAACATTCGTCATAAGTTGTTGGAGAAAAACTCTCGATCAATTCACGAACCTCCGAGTTTTCTTTTGCTGACTGTACCAAATATTGGTATTTATCAATTTTGTCCATTATTGGGTCACTATCAATTTTACTAAATTGACCCCAAAAAGGCAACCAGTTTTTTAACTCGCCATCAAAAATATGTAATTGTAATCTTGGCAGTTTTAGATTTCTGGCTTGTTGATTTAATTCTTTATCTATAATATCTGCTTTTTCCGCAACTTTAGATATATCGTTAAATTTTTTCTTAATACGCAGCCATTTTTCTTTATAGGTGTCAACTGATATAAGTTCTTCCTCTAAATCGTTTTCGTCAAATTCTTTACTTAAAATCAAGTTTTTTATTTCATTGTCTAATTTAAAAAGATTTTCCGTATGATCGCTTAGCTTTGTATAGCACACGTCTAAATCTACGGTTACCTTCTGGTCTAGCAATGTTTCGAAACTATTTGTGGTATTGGTAAAAAGTCTTCTCAACACAGTTCGTTCCTTTTTCTTATTTTGCAAATCCATTTTTATTACTAATAAATGCCTACGGTCGCCACAATGTTAAATTTAAAGGGACGCTGAATGTTGAAATATTAGAAAAAAACCACCATTTCTTTCGAACTGACATCAAAGAAGAAGAAAATGTCAGAAATTTATTTTTCTATAATCCTCTTTAAAAAGTTTTATACTAATTCACAACAGTATTACTTCCTTTTGCTTTTTGTTTTTTTTTTAAAAGCTATAAATGAAATTACACTTTAAATCAATTACATAAGGTTTATTTTTTGAGACAAATTTACTAATAACTTTGGATGACAGATACCGTCACTATGCCGGCAAAAATAAATATCTTCCTTACCTTGCGATTTTGTATTTTTCAACATTTTTTATGAAAATACTCTTGTGTTTTGTGAAATTTTACATACCTAATAAAATTCAATCCAAATATTTGGAGAGTGCTGTATAATGGCGTCAAAATATAAAGCAAAAGCTGAATTGATAGCTATCTATCGATTAGAGTTTTATAGGAAGCAGAAAAATTGGAAGTTTTGTCAAGATGTGTGTAAGAAAAGTGAACTAAAGCCCGAGGTAGAGGCTACATTAGAAACTGAGCCAAAACCTGATCTAGACGAACCCCAAAAGAATCTGAAGTGAGTAAATGTTGTGTTATAGTTATAGCTCAAGTTTTAGCAAGTTTTCATTTACTAAATTTGAACATTTATAAAATTTGATTATACATATAGTTAAATAAGTGCTTGATTACTTAAATAATACCACTTTCAGACTATATATTTCTTTATAAATCTTACATATTGTAATCTGTGTTAAATTTTAAATTAGAGACAAATATTCTTAAATAAACAAAGTAAAATATTTAAGAACTTTCACAATTAACAAAATTCTTATTCTTGAATTTAGCAAATATTATAAACTCGTTTGTTACAATGAAGTCTTGTTCTAGACCTGAGTTGAATAAAACATATAATATTAATATTAACACTGAACAAGAGGATGAGGCTCCATCGTCATTGAACAAGGCCTTTCTGGAAGCAGAACCAGGTAAAAAAAATCTATTATAAACACAGGAAAGTTACAAAACTTTATTTAGTAAAACAGTAAATAATATTTGCTTATATGTGGATTTGGACATCAACGGCTGGTCCAGGGGGGTGGTCACAAGGTTATGATCCACCCTGCTAATGAAAATTGTTAAATAATATTTTTATATATTTTTTCCCCAATATAGATTATTTTTTAGTTTTTCAAAATTTATTTGATTATCAATTTTATTTATTTAATTAAATATATTAATTTAGTTATCTGTTATTTAGGATCTAACAAGAAATATTTAATTGTTGTGTTTATTATAATTTGCATTGAAATAAAGACTACTACAAATGGAATCTTAGCCCGATTCTTATGTAGTTTCTATAGAGTTATTCGCTAATCTGTCTTTAATTTTAATATGGAGCAGTGTATACTTGAGTGAAGATGCGTCATGTCTTGTTGCTTGCGGTTGCACATCAGAGTATCACAGATCTTTTAAGTATTAACCCATACCTTCAAGAGACGATTGGTGTATCTTCTGTTAATTTGCACTGATTGCAGCTTAAATACTTTTTAGATAAAACGCCTTTAGAAGCACCACTAGACCCCAAAGAGGATAACAATAAAAATTTGCATGATAAGCAGATAAAACAACAACATCTTTGGGCACAACCAGAGAAATCTTGGCCTGAGTGGGCCTATCCAGTTAGAGAGTGGCCTACACCAGAAGTGGCCCAACACAACTGGCAAAATATAGTACAGGTAGTTTCTTTATTTTTTATTGCCAATACTTTATTATATTAAACAAACATCTATACATAGACATTTGCTAAAGGATTTAATTATTGGCTACTGTTTTTTACTGTTATGGTTAAACCACAATCAAATTTATATTTCTCAAAAAGGATTTTTAGGTTTTGGGAAAACATATATTTTTTTTTGTACACCAGCGATTAGGTAAAGATTGGATTGCGGCAATGTAAAACTGTAAAATATTATATGCTTTAAAAACTTGAAAAAAAATAGGGAAAATAAACTACAAAAGTTTGTTAAAATACATATGACATTAAATTAGCTACATAAAACGTTACAACTTTAATTATAACAGCTATTAACAAAAACGCACAAATAACGAAGTTATAAAGATTGCCCAGACTCCTATATGTTTTTTTCGCTAACCTGCACTGTAGCACTGTGTGTTTTTCGCTAACCTGCACTGTGACGTCACTTAGTGCCTCTAATTTGTAGGGAGGGTTTTCGGCCAAACTACTGATGTTCCACAAACATGGCAACGTATCTTTGAATCTATTAATTGCAGACATGCTGTTACTTCTTTATAAAAATGAATCAAAATCAGAATGTTGTATACATTTGTAATGGACTATTTCTTTTAGATATAATGAATATCTGTACCAGAAAAAGTCCGCTCTTCCATTGTACATTTAATAAGGTGTTTATTACAATTGTTTTCATTTTTCATTTATTACATAGTACACTTGCCTTGTGAAAAAAATAAATAAGAGTATGCAAATGAGTGTGTGCGTATGTCAGTGTGTATATGCATGCATAGTATAACACATAATATATACTGGCATACTTATACTTGTGTTTGTGTGTGTGTATGTTTGGGTAAATTATAGCTTTGCGTTGTAAAATCAGTGTAAATTAGAGAGTTTTAGTCTATTTAAATTATTGCAATAGGTTCTCAATATGATTATAATATTAAGATTTTATAAGTTTAATTAGAACTTTTTTAGTACGTAGGCGGGATGATAAATAGCTAGCCCAACCCATATTTTGTATAATAACGATAAAAAATCTCCATAGTATTTTACTCATTGGTTCATTAGCTGCTAGTGTTCCAAATTTCAAATCGATCGTATAGTTTTTCTTTTAAATATTGACATTTCAAAAAGCATTCTTTTGTTTTTTCTGCAAAATGGATAAAATTGAGCTACGAGCTGTGATAAAGTTTTTGCATTTAAAAGGATTAAAAGGTGGAGAGATTTTTCCGGAGATGAAGGATGTCTTCTTCATATGCAACCATAAAAAATTGGGTGGCTGAATTTAAACATGGCTGTACCAGCACCCAAGATGAACATCGTCCAGGACGTCCAAAAAGTGCCACTACTCCAGAAATTGTGATCAAAATTCATGATGCGGTTTTAGCTGACCGAAGATTGATACTTTCCGAGATAGCTGATACTGTAGGCATCTCTAAAGAACGGGCGCATTACATTTTGACTCAAGAATTATACATGAAAAAATTATCCGGAAGGTGGGTGCCGCGATTGCTTATAGTTGACCGAAAAAGCGTTCCACAAGAATGTTTGGACTGGCCTGGCTAAAAAAAAAAATCTTTCATCAGGATAATGCGCGCGTTCACACGTGCATCACTGCGATGGCGAAAATCAAAGTATTAAATTATGATTTGCTACCACATCCAGCTTATTCTCCTGATCTGGCACCATGTGACTTTCATCTATTCCCTAAGCTCAAAAATTTTTAGGTGGACAAAGATTTGAAAATAATAGCGAGGTGATGTCCACCGTGGACAGTTATTTTGAAGGGGTTGAAGAAAACCACTTCAGGGATGGCATCAAGGCTTTAGAGCATAGATGGATGAAGTGCATAACGCTTCAAGGAGACTATGTCGACAAATAAATATACTTTTAACACACTTATTCAAGCTTTTCTATGCTAGGCTAGCTATTTATCATCCCGCCCTCGTATTATATGAAGTCAATGTGTATATATTAATTTATTGTATATTGTGTAGATATCTTATCAAATTGACGGCTTGCAAATACTGTGTTTACCGGTTTCGCACGAACAACTACATTTTTGTTTCTTTTGTTATGTTTTTGATCGATTAGATAATTTATGGCTTTTTTTTAAATCGCTTGTTAAACAAAAAGTTTTCACACTGATAGGACATCACACAATGTATACAGTTCCTCTGTAGGGAATCTTCGCTGTTTAAAATACATAACTTCAAGTAGGGACCTTTGAGACATTTCTAATGTTAAGAATTTTGTTTTAGTGGCTTCTCTCCAAACAGCAATCCTACTAATTGGAAATAGATTATATTCAAGAGATTCTTTTCTGAATTTTCATTTTGAGTAGATTGTGAGACTATGGAAGTATGAACCACCTACCTTAGGCTTTTAAATATCCATATATATTTTGTAACCCTATTTAAAATTAGTTCAAATTGATTATGCCATGACAAATTTTCATCTATGATGATTCCGAGGTATCACGTGATATATATGTGAGCATTATTTATTTTCATGTTACATAGGTCATGTAAATTAAGATCAGCGTAGGTCCCAGTACACTACCTTGCGGAACACCATATTCAATTATCTTATTAGTACGTAAATTTTGCGTATCTCTAATAACACGGTTTTGACATGACAGCTTCCCTTCCACATGCCGTAAACAGAACTTGTTATTGTTTGCGACGACAAACAATTACAGGGCGTTTTCGTCGTTCATTAAAATTCCTAAAAATGTTGCATTTTCTTTATATAATTTTACTAAAGCTAAACATATTTTATCTGCAGATTCTAAGAAATAAACTTTTATTCTAATCTTATTAATAATCTAATATTATTATCTAACAAGATGAATACGCAACTTAATTTTAATAGTGTCAAATACCCTATTACTCGTATTTATTAATTTACGGTAGATATTACAATGGTAAAATGCTTGTAGTTGAGACTATTGAGATGCGAAAATGCGCAAAAAATTGCAGAGTTGAGGCCCTGTCTTAATCTGTGAAAGCAGAATATCTAGTTCGCACCTCTGGCGTATACGCTACAGCAGCGTATTGTCAGCAAATTTATATCAAAATACCAGTTTAATTTTACGTTTGCACTAGAGCAGCGGTTCTTAACCTTTTTGCCTGGCGACCCAAAACGTAAAAATTATATGAAGTCCGCGACCCTGACATTTTATTTATTTTCCAGTGATAATAAAATAATAGGAGTAAAAGTCAGTAGTTTGCTCAAATTGATGTCATTACGTTGAGTAGCTTAGGGACGCAGTCGTAAAAGCGCTCAGCTTGCGATTACGTTTGCTAAGCAACGTTCGCAGAGGCTGGTCACTGGACGGGTGACCGAAATCCTTAATCCGTTGGTCCCGGTTACATTTACAGTCGCAGTGTGCATTTTGCCGCCCATATATAATTTTTATTAATGCAAATAGAAATTGAACAAATATTAAATTATAAAATAAAACTTTGTTAGTACAAGAAAAAGTAACATTTATTAAAATTATCCAGTAAGTTTTTTTTTTAATATTTTTTGGGAAATCTTAGGTACGTTTTTTTTAATTTTCAATGACTTGCTTACCTTAACAAAAACATAAAACAAAGAACAAACAAAAATTTTAATTTGTGAAACGAATAAAATATGTAAAAAAGTGGTGCTAATTCTCAGGCTATATGTACGTTGTGTGTATTACCCTGTTGACAAAAAAAAAACCAACAGAGTAAACCATGAAAAAACTTACCTATATCCTGAGGGTTATTATCGCTAATTATATTAGTGACTACCCTGATGCTGTACTTTCAAACAAAGTTGATTTATACGCGGAGTTAAATTTATTGAAAGTGCACACCGCATGTCATGCTGAGGATCCAGTCTATTTCTATATTTGGTTTTTAAAACAGCAAGGCACGAAAATCCTGCTTCACACAGAAATGTACTTGGAAATGGTAGCAGAGCTTTTTCAGCTTCATTGCTGAGAATAGACTTCCCAGATAATTCTGCCCAAAATTTTGTGAGACTCATTGTGGCAAATCTTTCTTTTAAAATTCTATCACCCTGCAATTCAAGCAATTCTTCTTGTAATCCAGCCGTATGATTTTCAACCGCCATTACATCTACTTCAAATGGATTTCTTACCCAACTGTATTTCTCGATATCGACATTTTGTGGAATATATCTTGCCATTTCATTTTCAAGATGTCTCAAATGTTCTAAAAAGATAGGCATGGTCTCTACAAAAATATTGTTGTCATTAAGATCTTCTAAAAACAGATTTAATGTAGCAAACGCTGCTAATTGACGATTTGCAATTTTTTCTTGCCAAAGTTTTATTTTATTTTTAAAAACAGTAATTTTCTCATATATGTCCACTACGGTGCGGTTTTGACCTTGCATTTCCGTGTTTAACTGATTTAAGTGATGGAAGATATCGCTCAAATATGCCAATTTGGCTATCCACTTATTGTCAGTGAAAAGATCTGCACATTCATGTTTTTTATTTGTTAAAAATGTTTCTATTTCTGTTTTAAGAGAAATAACTCTGGCTAAAATTCTTCCGCGGGATAACCATCTGATATCTGAATGGTACAATAAATGCTGGTGAGTTGAACCCATTTCTTCGCACATCAAACGAAATATCCGGGAGTTTAAAGCGCGTCCCTTTATAAAGTTTATAATTTTGATTACGTCCTGTAATACCCGGTGCAGATCTGGCTGCATATCCCGTGTAGCCAAGTTCTCTCTATGTAAAAAGCAGTGTATTGTAACAACCTCTGGATTTCTTTCCTTGACTTTGGCACAAAAGCCTAAGCGAGTACCTATCATTGCTGGTGCTCCATCCGTACAGACTGCTACACAATTTCGCCACTGCAATTGGTGAGTCTCAAAAAAGTTGTCAACTAGAAAAAAGATGTCAGCTCCAGTTGAAGTTACAGAGAGCTTTTCACAAAAAAGAAATTCTTCATTAAAATTTTGAGGAGTTCTGTATCTTACATAAACTAACAACTGTGGAAAGTCTTCAATATCTACTGATTCGTCGATTTGAATAGAAAATTTTATTGCTGTTTTAAGATCTGTTATTAACTGTTCTAAAATATCTAATGACATTAAATCTATTCTCTTTTTTACGGTATCGTTTGAAATTGGCACCATTTCCAGCTTCTTAGCTATTTCATCTCCACAGACAGTTCTCGCCATGGCTATCGCGGCTGGTTTAATCAACTCTTCAGCAATACTATGGGGTTTTTTACATTGAGCAACTTTTAAAGCTACTTGAAAAGAAGCAAAGGTAATTTTTTCTAACGAAACTGTTGCCGAACTTGATGGTGCATCAAGTTTCATACGCTTTGCTTGTGTTTCTTTTTCTTTCCAAAAGGCAATTGGTTTATTTACATAAGTTGGATGGACTTTCTCAAGATGTCTCTTTAATTTGTTGAGTTTCAGCGATTCATTTGAAAGAAGTTGCATACAGACCACGCATTGTGGACGCGAAACACCAGAGCGATCTTTTACTTCAATAAATCCTAATCCTAAAAACTCTTGTTTATATGGTAACATCCGTTTCGTCATGATTGGTAGAATTAGCCAAACGTTTTTCCCAAAACACGATCCGCCAATTGAAATATTTGCTGAAATATAACGACAAAATATAAGCGTTAATTTACTTCAATATCTCGAATATTAAATACCTATTCTATTTACTACCAACTTTTTAAAATCAATATTATTTAATTACTGAAACATTCGTGGAAACGAATCCATAAATTGTACTCTTTAATTTTAGAAAATCGAAGATTAAAAAACTATTTTACTTATTACCTACTTTCTATAAATATTATGTTAACATTGAAGAATTAAACAAAAAGACAAATTATAAACTTTAATTTTAACTACAACCTGATACTTATTTTATCTATCACATACCTTCCTTGAGCACAGCAAAGAATACGTATTATAATCGCAGTAAACACAATCTTGTAGCACTGTTTGTAGCAAATATGTTAAGGTAGGTAGTTTGGTGTGTGTGATTCGCATAAGTGTGTGATAGTGTGATAAAAGAGCGTGCATTCATTTACAAACATGCTAGAACACTGAGTCGGCACTCGGCCGCACCGCCCGCCGCCGCCCGCGCTCAATTCGCCGTGCCGCGTCACACCTCCCTCTCCCCGCATTCATGATCAAGAAAGAATGACATCGATAACGGCGATCACAATGTCTTTTCAAAATTCCCGCGACCCATCTCAATACCGCCCGCGGCCCGGATTTGGGTCGCGACCCGAGGTTAAGAAACGCTGCACTAGAGCTTACAGTTAAAGGCAGACTTTACATTTAGTTTTACTGCAGCCTTAATTATAATTACAGTAGAAAAACTGATGTATTCAAAATTTTTCGTAAAACAGCCAGTGTATTTGGGTTGCGATGGAGGTCAAGAATACTATTCCGAGCAGCAGGGTTACGTCGAGTCCTGTTCCGTTAATGACTTGTGGTCACAGCACGTGGGAGTTGATTACGCCGTCGAGGCAATGGGTAAGTTGTTAAACCAACAAAATGTTTATTCTAACTTATATGTCGAAGTTTTCTATGATAAATATTATTCTGTGACAGGAATAGGAAAACCTCGAAATGGGTCTGATTTAAAATGTACAAGAACATGTCGGGTTATATAAAACTGTCCTTTTTTTGCCTCTCTGAACCGCTATTTGTTAGACCGAGAAAAATAGCGTGTTGCCTATCGCCTCGAGGAATCCCCGGCATGCTATTGCACATGCTGCCTTTCTCGCTCTAGTAAATAGCAGTTCTTTGAGACAGAAAATGATAGAGCGACGGAAAGATGCGATAGCACGCTGCCAGATGTAGTCGAATTTCCAATCTTTATTATGTAACGAGCAGGTGATGTGTGCGAAGACGAATGGTGTCCAAACGATGTGCTCGACGCAGCGGACAGGTGGCTGCAGGGTGGCCACACTTCCACCACTGAGGTATCTAATAAGACATAATGATACTTCTCACTGACACATATCTTTTAGAGTTTCACCAGTCCTTAATATTCATCCTATTTTGAATTCACAATGCTATACTGAAAAATATTGTAAATGAAAAATTATTTTTCAAAAATCCACTTTGGCCAGATTCATCCTACTGTTAAATAGCCTTTAGTGCGCGAGTCAGCTCGAGAACCGGGTCGAGAGTGAGATATGCCCATAGGTACAATCTTTGTCTCGAGCCTCTCGAGTTCGTCATGTTGCTCGGGTTTATCAATGTAAGTTATGTTATCAAACATTTATTTATTAATATCTATCAGAACTGCCCCCAAATTATTAAAAATAAGCAAAGCAAAGTCTTCCCCCCCCGCCCCCCTCATCTTTTGGCGCTTAGGTAATACTTTAATAACCATACACACCTCTTAGTAGTCGTAAGTTTTCGTTAAAGTGACATTCATCGTATACCATATTCCATAGGAACTATTCTCGGGATCGTTTGAGAGTTTCATGCTAGGAGCGGCAGCGGCACCACATTCCTCGGAGATAGATTTACGCACGCGCAGCGGTAAGTATTTATATTATTACTAACAGTTTTCCCGGGATTTCGCCGCCGTATATTATAGCCTATGTCCACCCCGTATGCTGTAGCTTCCATGTTTCCTTTTTAGGTAAAATATTAGTACAGACTGGCTGATCCAGCCACGCGTTGGTGATAAATAGTCGAGATTAAAACTGTCATATATTTATTATAAATGATCAATTTTGTATTCATGGTCATGGGTTCGAGTCCCATCTCAGAGTGGATTATAACATATGTCATTAAGACTATAATATCTTTTAAGTTAGACCAAATTACAGGTACATGTTTTTCATTAAAATCAGTTCAGGCATTTATCAATGACGTACATAGTGTTCGTTACAGGATATTTTGTATATATATTTATATAGATATACGATATGTTAATCGCGGTCATTCTTATTATTGACTTAAATATCAGAAAATATAATCATCAAAATATACAGGGTTATTTGTAAAACAATAGCAACAGCTAAAATAACTAACATCATAAACAACGTTTGATCTACGAGATTTAAAATAACTCAATACTTTGAACAAAAAGATGTTTCAAGTTTTTCTTGACTTTTTAGGTCTACGTTTTACTCATAAATGACAGTACGAATCTACGATCTTGCGCTGATATTAGTAATGAGTGTACAGTTATAAAAATATTAATCCAATTTACATAAAATATTAATCCATTAAAATGCCCCCTAAATAATAGCCTATGTCACCTGCGTATGATGCAGCTTCCGTTAGATGCAAGATTTTTTTATAATCAGATGTTGACCTGCGATTCTGTGAAAATCCAGACCTGAATTTGAATTCACTCATGTGTCAACTTGGAATTCCCCAAACTCGTAGCAATAAAATTCAAAAGGAATGTTCGAGGTAGCGATGGCCGATTGTTGCAAAAAACTAGACTAATACATTTGTATGTAATTACTTTAAATAAATTTTGTGCCATAAAATTTTAGAGAAATAGTATTTCTAAGCTCCTTTCTATGTCGAAATTTTAGTTAAATCATTTGTATCTCGAAATTCTTGTTAAGTCGAAAACGAAGTATAGATTATCAAAATTCACAGAAGAAGCATTATTATTTATGATGTTTTACTACTAACCCTGTTTTTGTCCCAGCAGGAGACTGGTGATGTATAAAACGATGTTATTTTTATAATTATATTAGCGGCAAGTGAGAGGCGTCCATGCACCCCTGGATTGTCTTCTACACAACTCGTAGCTGATGTCGCGAGACATGCCAACGCACTAAGAAACTTGTTACTTGAAGCAAGAGCGCGCGATCAGGTCATAAATATTTTATAATTAAAATAGTATTATTCGATCCATAGGGAAGGGTTGAGCCGCCAATTGTAAAATAATTAAACATGTTTTATTGATGAGATATAGCTCTTCTCTTCAGTCGGATTCAATTAATATGACGCATTATAAAACACGGACGGCTTAATTTGGAAACTTTGTAAATGTCGAACAATCAGAATGATTATAGCAACGCGGATGGGTCCCACCAAGTGTTAGTGTTTTACACCTTATTTCGTATTGTATTAAGACTCATTATAACATTTAATCGTACATTCGGTTATACATATGGCAGGAAACGAAGATTCACGATGCTCCATATTAGTAGGAATTTACTATAAACGTCGTCAGAACCAGCGACAAGACATTGTGTTGTTATAATATAACAACTAAATCATCATCATCAACCCTTTTAACTCCCCACTGCTGGGGCTTAGGCCTTTCTTATGGATGGTTAAGGAGGATGGGCCATATCCCTCCAACGCGGAGTGCAGGGTATTAACGACTGCAAATGAAGCACGGAGTAGCTCGATATAATAATTTTTTGGTTACTCGTCCTGTGTCCGAAAATTGCTGAAGTTTCTTAACAACAACGATTGCAGGCCGCGGCGCTTCTCAATAACTAAGTTTCATCATTTATTATTATTTTTCTTCAACAGTTAGTAAGAAGCAGTCAGTCTTTAGAACACACACAAGATGAACCAAATCGCGATCCAGGCCCGTCCCCTTCTCGCCCCACCCTTAGAAGACAAGAGACCTTCGTAAAAGACTCTTTTGTCGCTGGCTCTTTCAAGACAGAAGATGATCTGCCAGGAAGAGGAAGAGGGCGTTTAAGATCGAGACCTGGAGTTATAGGTATTGGAATGGGTCGTCCTTATAGATTGTGAGAAGTCTATTCGAATTTAGTTCTTATACATTCATATTAAGGGTTTAAATTACTACTGGTGAAGACTACTATAAAATTAAATGCCTGTATGGTCTTTATTGCTGTGATTGTATGGTTGAAAATCATATAATCGATTATATAGATGCCAAATCAGAAAGAACACCATTTCATCCTTTATTGGTCGCTGATATATATATATATATATATATCCAATGTTTTGTTTGATATGCAAGAATAGTATTTATCGCCATTAGTATACGATTGAAATTAATTTTGTAATGTGAAAGCTATTTGTATCTGTAAAGCGAAAAGCCTTTGTCGTTTGAGCTCTATGAAAATGAGAAGAAATCATATAATTATAATATTTCTGTTATTTATTTTAAAAATTGCATTTTGTTGTCTTTATGTTGGATGACATAAAAGTTAAAATGGTTTGTACGTAGTTCTTTTTTTATTTTGAAACCAAATCAGCGGTGATTAGTAGCTAATTATTATTCCACGAATCTAAAATATTACTCAAATGTATGACCACATGGTTTAGATTTGCCAAATATCATACCAAATTCTAATATTAATGTTATGTATTTATAAAGTACACATTATTTCAGCAATATCTCAATTTCGCATGTATTTTTTTTGTTTCATGCATGCCCAAATTGCTAAATTGCTATTAGAAATTAGTATTATAAAGTAATAATTATATCTTCCATCTCATTTAAATTAGAAGAAATGTATGTATATGATTAAAGTTGTGTTTGTCTTCGTCGCATGAGATACTGATTTATGTAGACACAGTACCACTTCAAATTATAGCAAGATGCAAAA